GACTCACCAAGTGTGGCAATTCCAACACCCCATGACATAGACGTTGGGCACATACATCTCTGACGACGTGATGTTTGGAATAATCTCACAAGAGGGAAGAAAGCAAGCGCTTGATCGCCTTCTTATGTTCCTTAGGGAGGAAGTACAGACAACCGGTAAAGGATAGGAGGAAAGACATAAGTAGAACACGCCTGTCCTACACTTCAAGTACAAAAACTTCGAAGACAAGTCACGACCGCCGCTCCGACATTTGACTGTATTTCTGTTTCAGTTGGAGTCTGGGCCCGAACCACATTCCGTCCGTCCAAAACAAAAGACCTCAGAAAGACCCAATTCCAGGCACCTAACCGTAAACCGGAAGACTTGTCGCGGTTAATCTTGGCCCCCGTTCAAGCGCCTTCAGCACCACCTCAATATCGCTGCGGGACGACACGAAAGTAGATACATCATCAGCATACGCAGAAACCCTGACTCGAGCCCCACCAGGGACGGCGATTACACGTAGGGCCGGACTGCACGTCCTGTCCCTCAGCCGGCAGAGGACAGGCTCCAACGCCAAAGCGTAACGTAGCACAGCGTAACGTCACCTGTACCACAGCACCGGAGGAACGATACAGGAGGATAATCCACTTGGATATTTCGGGTCCGAATCCAGCGGCCTGCAGGACAGCAGCCAGGTACCGACTGTCGACCCTATCAAATGCCTTGGACTGATCCAAATTGTTCATCAAGGCTTGCTCATTGTCTTTCACACCCTCTCGGATCGTGCGGATCAGATGCAGGGTGCTCTGAATTGTTCTGCTCTTCACAGAACATATTTACTCAGATCCCAACAGACTCTCGACAACTGACTGCAAACGCTTTGTCGGGATCTTGACCAAAATCGTTAACTCTGTATTTAGCAGAGTTATGGGCCTGTAATCATCTAAATCCCACCCAAGATCCTTTCCCTTTCACACCTGGAGATTCGGTGGGGGACGGACCTCTGGCGGAACCAGTTGTTGAACAAATGCAATTCGTAGGGCAGACCAAGTCCCGGAGACTTGCCACTGCCGATGCTCTTCAATGTCAAGAGTACGCCCCTCCGAGATATCGACCTCCTGAATGTACCGATCAGAACCTCGACGGATCTCTTCCTTTTGTGGTCCAGGACGGCATTCTAGCCCCCATTAAGACAAACCGCGACGAATCCGCTAGGAACTTGGCTAACTGACAGAAAAACGAGACACGCTCCGTCTGGTCGTTGGGCGCATAAACCGCAACAATCCGAAACGAACTACTTTTCACATAATATCGGCCTTCATCGATGTGAACAAGGTCCACCCTCGCATCAGTCAGTTGTTAATGCTACTACGCATATCCACTACAGTCAATTCGCTGTGTTTCCTGTAGTAATTGTGGCATAAACTCAGTGCAAGAGTATCTGTATGTTCTGCCATGGATCAGAGTATCATATCCGTGCTCTCTCAAAAGCATTCCATATAATGTCAAATACACATTCCTGTCGGTATAGGGAGCTGCTGGGGCTGTCTCTCTTATTACTGCAGAAAATCATTTGTTCTCTTCCCTATGATAATGATGTAAATTTATTTTCGTGTGTAAAGTCTTGGTAGAATTTCTCTATCAACAACATTTTCATATTTCAAATATTTATTAAGCTAAAACGACTTTGCAGAATGTATTTTCAAAGTATAAATGTACTAATGACCGGTTACCCATTCATCACTGTTCAACATTCACATAGCCCACCTGTACTTTATACTGCAACTATGCTGGGCAGACTTTACTTAGAGTTGTAAGGAGAGAGCGTATTACAACGACAGTACGATAAAATCATCGGTCATGATGACTTTTGACTTCATGCTAGCACAACTATCAACGGTCTTCAGACAGTTTCGTCTATCCAGTTTCACTCACAAGTGTTTAGGTTAAAATTCTGGTATTGTTTGTTGGCACTTTTCAACAGTGCTGCACGTTAGGATCGCCCCCGCAGGCAGATAACATGAAGAAGTTACCTTCCTGGCAAGTCTAGCATGCTGAGAATTGAATCCAGGTTCCATAGTCAGAAATTTCCTCTATGGCACCTGGACGTTATGGAATTAAGCGCAGTACTAGATTGGCGACAAGGTCTCATCAATTTACAGTTGAAATGGCTAGATGAAACCGCAAGTTCTATGCTAACAGTTTCTTCTATCACACTTCTCACTTCTGGAACTCTTTTCCGGTTTCTTGCTTCCCAGTCAATTTCGATTTTCAAAACTTTAAAATACAATGTCAATTGTTATCTTCTGTCTTAATTTTTTTATTGTCCTTTCTCGGTAATAGTAGTTTTTCTCATATTCTCTAACACTCGGTAACCTCTTGCGTCTTGTGGCTTTATTGTATTTGCTTGGGGTGAAATGATTAAAAAAAAAGCTAATGTTCTAATCACTCTGCCACGCGCCCATATAAAACTAATTATATATATGTGCATGTATACAAGTGTAAACTGGATATTAATATAAATTAGACTCTAGGCCACATGCGGTAGAGAGATGAATACTGTTAAGATAGTCTTGTAAGAGCAAGTCCTGTCTATCTGCTTAGAAAATCACTAATCAGAATCTATTACGTGAGTTTGAACATCAACCTCAAGAAATGGTGTAAAATATATTTGATTTACTTATAAGTAATTTCGATTTTGGGGATCCAATTGTAATGAGGAATGTATCATTGTAACTCCTTATAATTATGTGTGACAGTTGAGGATAAATTTGGATGACAGTAACATACGACAATGCTCAACGCAAATGTCAGTGGATTGATATCGATAAATCTCTACAACCAATCCCAAAAGCCGATCTCCGTGAAAGAAAAGTACCGCTGTCAGGGTATTATTCATTCTCAGTTCTTAAAACGTAGAGAAACACAAAATGCAATCTGTTCATAAGAGTCTGGTTGAAAACCTCTCTGAGCTCATCAATAGGAAAAATGTTGTTCTTCATGGCAATGAAAGACCGAAGACCACAAAACGGCACAAAACTTTATAACTCAATTGTTCTGTATCTGTCCTCAAGGACACATGGCACAGTGGATAAAGGCGTTAGTTAGATCCATTGACAGGACTCAAAGAGTGTGAACTGGTTAAGGCGGTGGAGAACTTTCAGAGGGAAATTAACAGACATCCATTACATGGCACATGGAACTAGAACAGTCTACTCCAGTGAGCGAAATAAACGGTTCAGTTCGACATTCCAACCACCTGAAGAAGGCAGGAGCGTACAACGGCCGAAACGTTGTGATAAACATGGCGACAAAGATGAGTAATCTGTAATAATGTAAATAGTGTACAAACTGTACATAATATCTCATCTCAGAAATATAGACAGATAAGAAAGGACTAACCGTCAATTGTAAAAAGAGAGAAAGTATGGTTATCAATAAAAGGAACCATTCAAAATGTAATCTACAAATTAGAAACACCAAAATGACAAAGAGGAGGACAATAGTCCGAATAATGTAAATAGTGTCAATTGTTCTGTTCTACCCAAATCGTCATATTCCTCTGATGTTGTACCATTCAATTATTACGTTTTTTTTTTATGTTTTTGATCGCTGAAAAATGCTTTGATGGGGGGGGGGGAAATTTCAACACTTAAAAGCAAATTCAAGAATTAATCAAAAACTTTTTTTACATCAAAACCTGTAGAAATTTACTTAAAAATGTATAGAAGAGATGTCTGATAAGTGGTAAGAAGACATTTTAAATAGTGGTGAATATATAACTGTAATTGAATATAATTGGAATTTTACTTTACCATCTTTATTCTTCAAGGGCTTACGGCCACATCACGTTGAACCACCTGTTCCAATACGATCACCAAAGTTAAGCAACGTCAAGCCTGGTCAGGGAATACAAGGTGCTGTAAGCTTAGATGTGCGGGTGGTGTAATGGATATTGGCTCCGATTTGTTAATTAGAGAACCGAGTTCCAATTCCAGTTGGATTCGTTATATTCACTTAGACGCAATACCATCTCTTCTTCTAACTATGGTATAATTAACAAGGGTAAGACTTGAATCATTGAACAAATTATTATCTCAAAAAAATAATTCTTCCAGCCTAAACGTATTTTTTGGCTTTAAATAGGCTGTAAAGGGTTGATAAACTGTAGGAAACGAATCAATAAATAAAAAATTATACTTCAAAATTATTTATGACTCAACCTAATACAATTATTTTTTTAATCACAAGACTGGCTTTTGTATATGTTAATTATAGTTTGTGTGTTGAAAATGCATTGATTATCTTGGACACTGGTTTGTTCCAATTCAACCAGAGCAAGAATAGAAACTGGTAAAATGCAAATCTGGACAGTTGAAGATACGCTAAGCATATGTGTGTATGAACATTTTATAGGCCATCTATCAAAAGTCTAGAGGTTTAAGTGTGATTCTGAGCATGCGCAGAGTTTGTGAAAAGAAATTTAAGGCTTCTTCCTCAGCTTTGTTGTCTTGTGGAGGAAATTGTTGTCAGTCTCTTTGGATGCATTCAGCTGAAGGAAGGAAATGACTTCCTTCTTCCTTTCTCTTTATTCTGTATATTATATTCAAATATAGGGATGTGTGTTTGTGTTTGTACACGCGCATGGAGGGGAGAGTGTGTATGAATGCTTTACCGTGCTTTAATATCCCGTGTTTGTGATTCTTGCTTTGCTTCGACTGTCCAAATGCTACTTGTGCTTGACAGTCTCTTCTACCTGAATGTCTCATTTCAGCTCGTCTCTTCAAACTGCACTCTTTCAATTTTTTTTTCTGACAGTTTTAAAATTTATCCGTACCAAAAGTGGGTTGAAATTCCAATTTTTTCGAAAATCCCTTCATTATGTGTGTTAGGGCTTACGACTGTATCACGTTGAAACACCTAAGTTAAGCAACGAGATGGTGACCGCTTAGGAATATTAGCTGGCGTAAGTCTAGGATTATATGTGTGTTGGGGCTTACGGTCGCATCACTTAGACTAGCTGATATTCTCAAACGGTCACCCATCTAGGTACTAACCAGGCTTGACGTTGGTTAACTTCGGTGATAGTACGAGAACCAATGTTTCAATGTGATATGGCCGTAAGCTCTTTGCCATCCAGTCACATAAACTCATTAAGTTGGTTACTCATTGTTTCTCCACCTTTTTTTTTTTTTTGCTTTAATCATGTCACGTAAGTGCTAAATTCTCTAATCCTTCTTTCTGAAATTCACTTGTCTCTTTCTGATTGTAAGTATAACTTTCTTACAGTTTCTGTTCTCTTACAGTCACATCACATTGATAACTCTGTAAAAGTCAGGAATTGATTCTATTCTGTATCGACATTATGAACAGGGGTTCCACCTTAAAATGATAACAAATCAATGTTCAATGAGGGATTCTTAGTTCTACTCAAAAGAGGAATGTTTTGGTTTATTTTTATTTTTTTTACGGCATATCAACACCTCAATGGGCTATTTCATGCCGACAAGATTTTTAGAATAGATTTTTATGAATAGAATATGTATTCTTTGTAAGAAATCAGTTTGTAGGAGATCAGATTTCATTGACATAATTTGTAAATAGGGTTTGTAAAGAGTCTGGTTTCATTCATGTATTCTTTTCAGATATACAGTTTCTAGAGAAGTTGGTTTTATTGAAATTCTTATTTGGTATATATTTTTGGTATAGACCCAGTTTTTTTTAAATATTATTATATCATACATTTTTGCTTTTCCAAGAGCTTGAAGTATTGATGGATAATGACAAAAAAACACGTGTTATATTTTTTAAAAAAATAACAAGATAAGGAATTTATTTACACATTTGAAGTTGTCAGTAGCTTGTTTCAGGAAAAGGAATAAAATATTTAAAGTTCGTAGTTTCGATGAATTGTCAAGAAGAGAAAATGTTCATATTAAATCATCGAACACAAAGTAATATTCCAAAATGTCTAAAACAAATTGGGAGATTTTTTTTTCACATAAAAGTTATACAGTTGTATACAACATGAATGAAAAGATATATTTTAAGGTAAGTTAAATAGAGTTAAATGTGGAGTTAAATAGAGTTCTTTGAAATTACCCTGCTCTCATTAGAGGCGGATAATATATCAGCGTGTAATTTGGGACCGGCGTTATTCAGGCGCATGGAACTCTGCCTTTCTGTCTCCTGATTCTTTCTGTTTTTTTTTTCTCTCCCTACCTTGATTCAACTTTCTCTGCTTGTTTATATCAAAAAGCGATTTCACATCGGCTCATTACTTTTTTTCTCAGTTTTTAAGCCGCTCCTTTTTACATTGGTCAAAATAAATTTTCACATAGGCTCGTTAAACTTTGCCTTGGTCTTTTCTTCAGCCTGGAGCCAATCCATTTTCTGTTGGTCAAAATAAAGTTTGGAAAGGCTAGCGAATTTGAAAACAGTGGAGAAAAGAGAGCTATTTTTATTATGTATTCACCTCAAGCTCATATATGTTGTTTATATTATAGTATTTTTGTCTTAAGAAAACAAGGATAGGTGGAATGGTGGCCTCGCCATATATATATATATATATATATATATATATATAGGGCACTTTGACGTTGTGTAATGGTGAGTTCAATCTTGACTGGGTGCTCCATACTTTTTCAACCTTATGGCACATCTAAGCTACGCTTAGTAAGAAGGAGCACTTCGACGTAGTGTAATGATTAGCAAGTTTGTCTCGCCATATCAATTACTGCAGACTTATGATTCCTCATCGGGTGCTCCTTACTTGCGGTGTTGTCCACATCTAAGCTACCTTTAGTAAATCACTGTATAGATCTTGAACTTGTAGACGCCAATGCACTTTCGTGTCACAACCAAACCACGCTAGGTGGTTTCGTAATAAGTAGGTTTTATGGAGTGGTGTTACTAGCTCCACAACGAACTGGTTTAGGAGTCATTTCTCCCAGAGTAGTTACCAATTAAAGCTAGATAGACCAATCTTCATGTCTGGGAAGAAGAGATGGATTCATACTTTTCTCAAGGGCATTTTTGCGAAAACACAATGTCCTTGTCCGGAATTTGAATTTAGCTGTCTAATCCGATTACCGCTACACTATGTGCACATCTCTCTCCATATATATATGTGTGTGTGTGTGTGTGTGTCATTCGCAGACAGTACTGTTTCGCTGCGATTGGACAACCGAATGCCTCAAGCCCGGATCGAAACCCAACCGATTTGGTGTTAGTCAGAGCTTCTACCATTGAGCCATCTTCACTTGACAGAACGAATCAGCCAAATCTAGCGTATTGTTTTTACAAACGTAAACAAACGCCAAGCAGCCAAATTGCTCCATTCATTTTACTGAAGAGCTTTGCATTTACGTTGTTTTTAGAATTAGCTTGTCGTTCAACAGTGCTCAATTGAAAATATATTTTCAAGAGCTAAATTATGTAATTCGCAGACAGTATACAGGTATAATCCGTTGGTATATAATCCAAGTGAATCCTAATAATATAAACTATTAAAACTGACCCACAAAGAGAATTCAATGTATTTATTATAACAGAGCTTATGTAAATAAATTACATAGGAAGGAATTCAAAATTACCTCATTTGAATGGCCATTTCGCTCAGCAAGAAAAATATCTAACTTGAAGAGATTTTCAACACCAATAAATAAAAAATGACACAGATTGGAAGCTTAAGAAATTTTAAAACTTTGTAAGCTTTAAATCTATGATATTTTTTATTTATTAGTGTTGAAAATCTATGCAAGTTAGATTTCTTCTTGCGGAGTGAAATGGCCATTTCAAATGAGGTAATTTTGAATTCCTTTCTATGTAATTCATATATATATATATATATATATATATATATATATATATATATATATATATATATATTCAATCTATAGCAAAAGTGATATTTGTCAAAAGGAACGGCGAAATAAAGACAGTGCTCAATACAATTTTCAAAAACGAAACTGTAGGGCAATTTAAGATATAGAATATTGGAAACACCTACCATTATGCTACCACAGTTTCTACCAGAATGGTTTCTGAGGTACTTCCACTGATTCTCTAAAAAATTAGTATACCATGATGCCAAAAAAAGCCCCAAACTTAATAAAAACAATGTTTTACTGTCAAAATCTTTGTTATTAAGCGGAAAGATCAAAGGATTTTCTGATTATTAAATTATGTTTTTGATCTTTTTCAAAACGTTCGAATGAAACTTTCAGGACTAATTCACAAATGAATGACATTATTTTACAAATATTTATTTGAGAAAATCTTGGTAAAAATATATTTTTAGATATGTTACTTCCACTTAATTAATTTTATGAAATTTCTAGAAATTAAATTTTGTAGAGCTTAATGTTTATATTAGTAAAAAGCAGAACTCCTTGGAGAATTTTTAAATCAATTCATTTTTGTAAAACAAACGGGACCACCAGTTACGGAAAATCTGCCATGAAGTGTAAAATAAAAAAATCAATAAAACAAGAACGCTATTTAATTTTAATTAAATAGCGTCCTAAAAACTTTTGATTTTATGAATAAGATATATTATGGAATCTATTGTCCTAAGAAAAAAATATTTTTGATGAATAATGAATTTTTACAAGAATTATTTTTATTTTTTTTAAATTTTAATTACAATAATTTATTAAGTTTTAAATCTTGTAAATTCCTATATTACTTTTTCCAGTTAGGGGATTATTGTTATTAAGTAAAAACTACTAATCATGAACAGAAAAGCTTTAAAAAATTCATCGACCTCCCCCCATACTTTAAAAATAATTTGGAATTTTTTTTATTCTATAAACGTGCTAATTTTTGTAAATACGGATGTCCATACACGACATTATCAGCAAATAAGAAGAGTAACTATAGTAAATTTAAAACCAAATTACCTAAAATTCAATAAAACATAAGATTATGGATAATATTTTCCTAAATTTTAAAGATTATCGGGTAGTTAAAAATTATATAAAAAATATATATAAAAAAGTCATTCACGTTATATTACTCATGTAAATTTTACAGTAGGAACCTTTTTTCTTTTTAAATCATTTCACCCCAAGCAAGGCAACAATGCCACTGGAATGCAAGGCGGTTACAGGGAGTGAAAGTGAAAGAGAATGAGAATATTGAAAATGGGGAGGATTGAAGAAAGGACAAAAAAGAAACAGAGTTCAAAAAGACAGGAGATGGCAATTGAAATTACATTTAAATTTTTGAAGATTGTAATTATCAGAGAAGTACGAAATCGGAAAAGAGTTTCACAGATAGGAAGTGCCATGGAAATATTTGTAGAACAGAGGGAAGCCACGTCATGTTGGTGAGAAAGTGACTGGAGGATCGATTGTATTGCAGAATCTTCTCCGGATTTCGTCAAGAATCCCGAGATGCACTGTAGGAGCACCAGACTAGATATAGCAACAGTATTTTATACATGGACGAATGGTAGATTTATAACTGTGCAAGATTGATTCTGACGGGAAAATATTTTGGCACGACACAGTGAACCAACCTTCATTGCAAGCAGTCGCAACAGTTGACTCGATTTAGTCGGTCCGCTTCATGTCAGTGGAAAACGTGAGGTCAAGTAGACGTAGAGTGTTTCTCTCCTGGAGTTCAGCATCAGTCACTCTGATGGTAGACAGAAAAAGTTTTCTGTGGCAATAAATAAATCACTGCTTAAAAAACACAAAATTGCAGGAAGTAATGAGATGGCAATTTATCATGCAAATGAATATAAAGAGCAATTTTTTTAATACTTCTAGAAAAACTAGTTAAAGCATTAGGTTGAGAGTAGAAAGTTTAATTACGATATTCTAATCCCTTTCAGCTGACAAAAGAATTTTTGTTTTGATTGTAAGTGACCTTCAGAGAAAGCAGAAGATAAAAAATTGCCATAATGAAATTTGAGCTAAAGTAAAAATCAGATTTAACCAATGAATTTTGTGGCTGGTAACCTTTTAACCTAAGGTTTCTTAGAATAAACTTTTGGCTCACAGTATACATGTTATTCTTTGACAAAGAACGGCAGGCTGCTGATACAGTGTATAAGAGAAACCCGGATATAAGAGAGATTTTCTTTGGTCCCAAATTAGAGCCTGTGTTAATGTATA